TAAAAAAAATATTAATTTTTATGATTTGTAATTTTATTATACAAATTTTTTTATACTGTCCCAAATTCTTTTTATTTTTGGGCCAAAATAGAGCCATCCTGACATGATCAAGTCGATTGGGATGGAAACAAGCGTGAACAACCCCATTCAAACAAGTATCATGAGAAGATAATATGTTTTAACTCATTTATTAATGTTCAGTTAAAAATAACGTCGGGCAAAAGTGCATTTGAGTTTAAATCACAATTCAAAAGCACTTTTTGACAGGCAAAAGTAAAAACCAAACGAGCTCTACAAGGTTGACCATTATTGAATGTAATTTATGGGCTTTTTTAACTCAAGCATTTTTAGTGTGGGCTTAAAATAAACATTTCTTATGGAACAAAACAATCATGGGCCGAAATTTATCCTGCAGTGCTTCCCTCACGCCAATCCCTACTACAGGCCTACAGGTAGAAAAAAGAAATGTGACTTCGACAGAAAAAAAGAGAGTAAGGTGACTTCAAAAAAAAAAAAAATCAACGGTTATTGAGACAATTCATAGGCATATATGAACATGACTAATTTTAATTTCAAAGTGAGAGCTTTTGCTAGTAAGCATGGTATATATAGTTTAGAAATTGAAGTTTTATAATTGAGATTGAACATGATTAATGGGGGAAAAAAAGTCATCTAATCATTTCAACTATCTCGAGACGTTTTTCTTTCGAGCGTTATAAAGTGAGGCATTTTTCTTTTGCATCATAGGATATTATATATAAATATTGTGCAGGTGTCTGACTTATTAACTAGATAATTTATAGTTATCAATAAAATGTATATTTTAAAAATTTTGTAACTATTGATAGGCCATGAATTTTCTATGAAAAAAATTCAATAATAATTGATGATTTTGACCAAATTTAATTTGGATTCTAAATATTATTATTTTAAATTAAACTTTAGTATTGCTTTATAGGAAATGAAACAAAATCATCTTGTAATTAGAGTTGATAATTCGAGCGGGCCGGGCTTATTAGATCGGGCTCAATTCGAGTTAGGCTTGAGGTATCTTACCTTAAAAAAGTCCATATAGCCGAACCCAACTCTAACTGTTTTCAGCTTGGTTTAGGTTGGCCGATTGAGTTTAGCCAAAATTACCTACTCTATATATATATAGAATTGAAAATTTCAAAAGTCGTGCTCAACTCGGGCTGGACTTATTCGAATTGGGTTTAAAGTATCTTATCATCTTTAAAAAGCTCATATAACTAAGTTCGGCCATAACCTTTTTCAGGCGAGTTTAGGTGGATCTGTTTAGCTTTGCCCAAATTACTAACTCTACTTATAATGACAAGATAACAAATATTAATAGGGCGGACAATGAAAACATGAACAGATGGATGGATGTGAGAATCTGTAGGCACACTAGTGCAAAATGCAGGCGCTTGGGAGGGAACCGTTGGACTAATGTGCAAACAAAACTGACAAATTTCAAATGATTAGTTAAGTTAATTTAAGAATAATTAAAATATTCGTGAGAGGGGCCATATATTATAGTTGCTAGTGGAATTATGACCATGACGAGAGATGAATAACCAAGTCAAAAGATCAGAACTATAATTTGAGCTGATATTGGATCGGCATGCGTTGTAGTACATAAATGTTGTCAGAAAATGGAGTCCGAAAACATGTCTCCGGCAACAATGTGATTTGTTTATAACCGCACATGGGAACCGGGTTACAATGATAAACCTCAAATGAGTTACACGGTAAATACACTAAGAGATGGAGGGAGAAAGAGATAAAGAGAGTTTTTGGTGGAGAGAGTTATCTAATGTAGGCAGTGACAAACTTCCATTGTAGTGACAGTTGGCACTTGCTTCCATTAACTTTGGCAAAAAATTACATACAAGGCACGTAAAATTTATCTTTTTTAACTACACTAGTTTTGATATTTTAACCTCATTAAGTATCAATTCTAATAGTTTGTCCTTTTGCCCCCTACTAACCAAAGGTTTTAAATCCACCACTGAACGTACATGTTTCTCAAATCACTCATGCCAATTTAACTTGGGCTTCCACTCACCTAGCCCAATTTATCAAGAGTGCAATCCAATGAGAAAATATAATTTTTACTTAATTTTGATTCGAAATAACTCAATCTTTATATTTTTTTTATTTAAAACAACTTAATTTTTTTTTTTGACTTGATAGAACTTCATCTCAAAAGTTTTTTTTAGACCGACCATCTCTAAAGTTCATCATTATACTTTAATAAATTGCAAGAATTGAGTTATATTAACTCAAAATTTAAGGATTAAAATGACTATTAAAAAATTAGAGATTAAAGCTTATATCACCTCTGTATAATTTCCTAGGATATATATATATATATATATATATAGAAACTAGGAAATTGACAGTAATTTATGACCATTTCATTATGAACCTGATTACATCATAGTGGCAGGAGAATGATGATGACCATGTCCAAGAATTATACTATACATATATAGGGGCACGTTTCCCTCGTGTTTCTTAATGAAATGAAGAAATTAAACTCTTTGCTTAAATTCTCACCAAAATCATGTCACCACTAATTATATTCTTTTATGCTTTTGTATCTGGCCATACAATTTGTTTTTGTTTGGAGGCCGAATCAGAAAACTAGCTTTCACTTTAACTTTAAAACAAACAAAAGCAAAGTGATGAAGAAGGTTTATAAATGTTACGCTTTCTCCATCAGTGTGTGTGTGTGTGTTATAATCAATGCACACACACATATAAAATAAGTTCGGTCACATTCTTCAAAAATTGTGAATAGCACGATTCGTTTGTCAAATTTTGTACACAGACATGTCTAGCTAAAGGTAAAGAAAAACAAAAATATATTATTGACGTCATTATGAACAGAGAAACTATATATTAATTAATTAATACAATGTAAATCGGTTATAATTAATTACATAAAATAGATATGTATATGAAATAATGATTCTAGAAGATCATTAATCTCAAAGATTAAAAACCTGATAGTGGAGGCAATCATCACCTCCCCCCAACACACACACACACACACACACACACACAATAATTATTCAAACTGTTGAAAATATTATTTGTCATGAATTTCTCCGAACAGAGATGACATGTACTTCAATTTTGGCATAATTCGAGCATGATTTTCGGATATCAAGCTAGTTTCTCCTAGAATTCTTTGAGTTTGACGTTCAGTTTCCCAGTGAGTCGATACATACCAGCTCATATTCATTCACAATCTAGAATATTTATGTGTGTGTGTGTGTGTTGTATATGTAATTATTCACATTTCCCTTCTTTGATTGTAATTAATTATTATCTATGTTTAATTATTTGCTCCTCAATTTTTTTTCTTTAATTTCTTTGTGGGAAGATATAACTATTGATCCTTATACTTTAATTTTATCATGTTCTAATATTATTAGTTCATATGCTTTTTATTTTCATTGCTCCAACTTCTTTAAATTTTATATGTATGCAATCTTTGTCCTTATATTTTTAAATATGAATGTAAGAAATAAACGGTGGCTAATATGTATATAAACAATGTTACTGATATTGTACTGGCTTGTTAAAATTATGCTCGGTTATTATATAAAAAATGAGTAGCAAGAAATAAGACATGACATTTATGATTGGAGATTGATAAAACTTAGAGCAAAATATGCTAAAATTATAGGAAGGACTAATAATTGTATTTCTACAAATTTTTTGGTTTCTCACGTTTTATCTTGGGGTGTTTACGAGATAAAATGGGATCAAGACACTCATGTCTCATGTCTCATCCCATTAAAAATTAAGACAGAATTAAAACAAGATCGGGACATCTAGCAGTTCTAATAAAGCAAACAATATTAAAAAAAGGTTTGGATAAAAATATTTATTAAAATTTAAAATCATATAATTTATTAAATTTAAAATCAAAACAATACAAACACATAAATTACAATAATTTAAAATTAATTATTAAATTATATCAATCATAATTACAAGTACACAACTTAAAGCCATTTTTTCCCTTGTTTCTCTTTCCCCTTCACTTTGCCATTATTACTATTATACAAAAAATACAAGTGAATTAGATCAAGGATTAGTCGATGTTATTAGGATAAACTTTTACAACTCAATAAATGCTTATAAAAATACTAACATTTTTCTCTCCAATAAAATCTTTACATTATGATAATTGATAATAGGATAAATTGGCTCACTAGCAAGAATTAAAAAACTTGTATCAAAAAAATATGGACTAAATTTTTAAAAATTTAGAAGTATAATCAGTTTACGTAGATTTATAAGGGGCATGCCATTGATATACAAGGCATTTACCAATGAAAATATAAAAATTTATAAAAGTTTGTCATTAATATATAACAATATATCATTAACAAATATAATAAACTGGTTATAATATAAAATACAATAAATATTGGGCTATTTGCTTAATTTTGTCTTCTAATATGGGCTATAAATGCCATAGCCCCTTGATAATATATAGGATTAAAATTATTTATTTTATTTATTCATTTCATATAATTAATTACAAAAACGTGGCATTCTTCATCAAACAATCAAAACCAATTATAAATTCTAAATTTTATTGCAGTAGTTAGTTTCTAAATTTTATTAAATTTTGTGCCACAAGGCTTCCCACCCTTCCCAGTTCCTACTTTCACCATTTCTAAAGCGTTAAAAATTAGAGAGAATGACATTTAGGCCCATTATGAGAGAATTGTTAGCATTGTGGTCCAAAAGTTAACTTTGAAATCAAAGTCGTGACTTGCTCAATGATCAGTCCAGGGCTTATAAATAATCATCTTGATTCTTGTCTCCGCCATCATAGCGGTTAATGGTTATGCTCAAGGTATGTCTGTGTGTGTGTGTGTGTACACTGAGTGATATTTTAGTTTTAAATCTAAATCTATATGTTTGCTTTTAATTTGTTCTGTAGATATATAAGCTATACTGTAAGGTTCTAAATGGCAGAGAAAAAGAGAGAGGTCAGACCAAATTCTCATGTCAGCTCAAAAGGGAGAGAGAAATTGAGATTGGTCATGGCCATGCATGGTATTGCTAGCTGCAGCAAACAGAAGATGAAGAGAGGACTGTGGTCTCCTGAAGAAGATGAGAAGCTTATCAGATTTATCAGCATCCATGGTCACAATAATTGGAGTTCTGTCCCTACGCTTGCAGGCACACTTACATACTCACTCTTTCTTGTTCATACATTTCTGTCTGTCTCTCTATGTGTACTGTATCTTTCTTAATTATATGTGTGTGTGTGTATTTATGTATGTATGTATGTATTTATGCAGGCTTGCAGAGATGTGGAAAGAGTTGCAGATTGAGATGGATGAATTATCTGAGACCAGGCCTTAAGAAGAGCTCCTTTACTTCAGAAGAAGAGCAGGTTATCATCGATGTTCATAGGATTCTGGGAAACAGGTATATATAATTCAAGAACAACCAGATGGTTTTCTTCTCAGCTGTGAAAGCTATATATATATATATGTATGTGTATGTATATATTTATTGATGTATATGAGTCTGTACAAAAACAAGAAAGGAAAAATAAATAAATGAATGAATTCTTGATGTGCAGATGGGCCCAAATAGCGAAGCACCTTCCCGGAAGAACTGACAATGAGATCAAGAATTTCTGGAACTCTTTCATCAAGAAGAAGTTCCTATCTCATGGCTTGAACCCTCAAACTCAAACTCACACTCTTCTCTCTTCTTCTTCTTCTTCTTCTTCTTCTGCTTCTGCTTTTCATAAAACAGAAACTTCTGCAGCATCATGCGATATCTCAGTCTCATATGGTATTCATTCGAACAATCCCAATTCCTTCAGTTTCATTCCCATGGAAGCACGCAGTGTACCTTGTTCTTCACTAGTCCCTAAAGCTCAGCCTCTACCAATTTTTAATGAGCAAGCTGTTTCCAGTATTATTTCTAATCATAACTATGACTGTAATCAACACTCTCATCAATTCTCAGCTTGCCCTTCTGAATTATCAATGGAAAACACACTCAGCAATGTTTCTTCTTCTTGCATAAACCCATCTGAGGTTGCACTTTCCGATAATTTTAGAGCTGAGCCATGGGAAAAAGCAGTGGAATTAGGACACGTGGTTCAGCAAGAGAAGGGAGCTATTGAAGTGAATAATATTGATTGTCTTGAGGGGGCAAACGTTGATCTTTACATGATGGAGAGTATACTTGCATCTGAATTCATGTCTGAAGATCCCAGCTTTATGGATGAGTTTGCCTGGAACTTTTAAATGCTATATAAATGATTCTGCTTGCCGGCCATTGTATCAGCATAATATCATTAGAAAGATCTGTTGGAATAAAATTCTTAATTCTATTTTTTTAAGTTATCCTAGAAACTTGGGTATTACCACCACTGGTTCAAACTGACTTGAAACCCCACTATATGAGACTATCATTATCAACAGTAACCTTGCAAGTATCTCGAGGAAGCTTTTAACATTTTTGTTTAACATGATTATATTTTTTATGACTTAAATTTAAGATTCCAAGATAAGTTAATTCGATACCTTCGACTAGTTATATGAATATGGTATATCTTTTTATATCTATAATTGCATGCCCAGAGGAGGCAATTTAGTGCTCATCATCATAAAAAAAGTAGATTATCTTCTTTATTTCTATTTTGTTAAAATTGCACATAGATGTGATTTATCTAATCTATTTTCAAATACATACTCTAGTAGTTCAAATGTAAAATTTATTATATATACTATATTTCAATTTTGCATTCTTTAACTAAAAATGTATTCAAGTAATAATCAAAACAAATATGAGTTAATTTTTTCAAGATGATAAGATTAAAATAATTAGCATGGGAGTAAAGCAATGTCAATTATCTCTAATTTACGTTTATGTAATGGAATAATGAGGGGCTCTTCACTCATTTCTAAAACTAATCATGGGGTTGGGCCAAGGAACAACATTAAATTTAGGGTAAGCTAGCATGGATCTTCACAGAAAGACCAATTTAGGCCCAAAGAAAAAGCCCAAATCTCAAGCGAAATCATGACTCCAAATACTGTAAGCCTATATTTCTCATCTCTTTAATATAAACTAAACTTAACGTTTATAAAAAATAAATAAATAAACTAAACTTAACTAACATCGCCCTTATTAAAAAATAGTAGTTATTATATACTTATAATTGTTAAAAAAAATGTAACCTTCCCATTTTTCCTTTCTTTACAATTAATTACTATATTAAATTGTTGTCTAAGAATCTAAGAATTCAAATCATAATAAATAAACAAGGATAAAATTAGAAAAAAAATTAATTACTTGAACTTTTATCTTATATTAAGGACTAAAAAATTTTCAAAGTTTGCCCTTTGTTAAGGACTCTAGGGGGTACTTAAAATTAAAGAAATAAAGAAATAAATAAAATAATAATAAAGAAAACCCCAAAACTAATTGTACTCCACATTCCCCCTTGGCTCATCAAGATATTCTACAATTTTCAAGAAAACAATTTCCCATTGGTGGTTATATATATATAATGTGATGTTAGATTAATGGATATATTACTGTCGATAAAAGAGGGACTAAAATTGTATATCATGAGAGAAACGCCGTGAAATAACCTCTTCCAAAGTTCCATAGGAACAGTCCTTATTGTATTTATCATATATAATGCAATGGCTACTCATCATTTCAGGCTTCATTAGCAATGGCTGTGTCTCTGCCAAATCTGTTTGAGGCAAATCTTCCATCTCCAAATGCTCCAAAGGTACTGTGTGTGCGGCAAATTCTTCGTTCATGCTTCCATATTTAGGTACCTCTATATCCTGCACATATGTACTTAATTAGGCTATATTAATTATTGCCAATATATATACCATGTAAAATATGATAAGCAAGTGAATTTTACCTAAATTGGTTATTTTATGGGAAAAAATAAACAGTTTAATTAGATGTATATTGATATATCGTTATGTTATTAGATGATATATAATTTCAAATTCAAGAGTTTAGATAAGATTTTTAAAGTTTAAATGTAATATTGTATATGTGGTTCTTGTTTATAATTATTTGAATTGATAATTGCAACTCATCATTTTTTAAAAATAATTAATAAAAAATTTAGCTATCATTAATTAGCTCATTATTTTGGGGTCTAATTGTTATTCACCCAATGTAATTAAAGAAATAGGCTGGATTGTGAAATAACGTTGATGCACTATACGAGGAGAATGGGGGAGGAAAAGATGTGTTTACTTTGGAACCGTTTTGGTGAGTCAGTCAAAAGTCAAAAGTATAGTTATTGGGGATGGTGAAGAAAAAGCAACGAGCATACATATGCAATATTGGAGTCAGTCCAATTGATTTTTTAGTAAGAAGAAGGGCTTTACAAAAAGATATATGAACTTCATATTGATACTTCCACCTTTCGTAGTTTTAAGATCAAATTAAAGAACCAACTCAAACTCATATTATGCGGACCCTTAATTAGCAATCACAACACTTAAATCTACGGTAAACTTTCATTGAAATGTAAGAGGTAATAAAACACATATAAGATCTACCGTACCCTTTGTGAGATTATACTCTATACTTTTTTGGGTTAGCCAAGGTAATTGGTAGCTGAGTCATAAGCTAAGCTGATTATATAAATATAAAACAACAATATATATTAGCCATTACATATGAAGTATATATAAATATTAAATTTTGTAGTCCTAGCTAGGCTAATGGAAAATTCACCCCATCTCATGTATGTCTCATATAAACAATCTAAATATAAAAGTCTTATGTGACTACAAAATTACTCTAAAGTAATACTATTACTGAAATTGGCAATTTGTTAATTGTATTGGAGTTATCCATTATTGTTGGATAGTTGTAAATGAGATATTCAATTGACAACTAAGCAGCAATAATTAATTAACTCCTATTCAATAGTAATTGATGTTCAACAAATGATATGAGATTTCATCGTATAATGATTTTATAAGATTTTCTGTATTTAGATTGCTTGTATATGATCTTGGTTTTATCAATTTTTTTTCATGCTCTCCCACACATCTCATAAATTTCGAATATTCATGGAGATTAATTAGATAACTAACAAAAAGTGAAATTCAAACTAAACGAAGCACCTGAAACAGATTTGATGGGTCCACCTTTTTGCCCATAGAATAAGTATTAGCTGCGGTGTTTGCTCCATCACAAGCGAACTGTGCTTGAAAATCATCTTCCATACCAGTTTCAGTGGGTGTTCCTTGAGTGAGATCCGAAGAAGAAGCATCACAATTAGGGGGTTCATTGTCATGATCATGATTTACAACTTTCTCATCATCTTCCTCTTCTGGTACTGATTCCTTCTTCGCTTCCTTATTACTTTTTCCTTCTTCTTTAGGTGCTTCCGAGGTTTGGATCGTCGTCTTCTTGAACACGCGACACAATGAATAAGATTCCTGTTATAATTACAAGTTTTATATAGTATTTATGATTGAACATAATGGAGCAAGAAAAGTATCATAACAGAAAAAAGCAGGTTTTAGGACGAGTACTGAGAGTGAAAAAGTAAAGAGTCATTGTTATACTGATCATAATTCATAGAAAAGTAAAATCCTTGTGCACCAATCTTTATGCAACACAGTAGTTCGGAACATATATACTCTATGGTCTATGATATTCTACATTTAAGCTGAACGTAGAATGTGGACTACACTTATAATGACACCGTCTTTAAAAAGAGGAAAAATGAAACTGTAAAGCAAAATACTGAACTTATGGTGAGGATCATGAGGAGACTTTAAAATATTCGTGTCTTTTTAGGGCTTCTTCTTTCAATCATCATCAACTCTACTTCAGCAGCAGAAATCACAGGAACTAAAGCCCCTACGAAATACTAACATCACAACCAATTACAGTTTTGATAACTTACTCCTTCAATTCTATCCAAAAACTCTAGTTTGACACAAGTTTCTTCATGATTTGATGTCACTGTACACCCAATATCGATTTAATGACTTGGATTCTAAGACGCTTTCTATAAGAATCCAACCAAAAGTACATATATACATACCTTTAAAGAAGAGAAAACACTTGCAGGTTCAGAATCAATGAGGCGATACTCATGCATAACCCAGTTGGTTCTTATGCCACGAGGAGCTCTACCCCTGTAGTACACCAACGTCTTCTTCACCCCAACACGTCGCTTTTCAGAAGTCTTCACTGGCCTGTCTTTCCCTGTAGCTTTCCAATAACCAGCCCTTGTTGCCCTATTAGTTCTTGACCCATTTGGATACTTTCTATCCCTTGGACTGTAGAAGTACCACTCCATATCTTTACTTGGCAACAATGACTTTTCTGCATCTTCATTATATTAATTATTTCTCATATCAGATGGAACAAACAATTCAGAAGAATTCAGACATGTATGTACCTGGCAAATCCCAAGGTTCATGTTTGTAGAGATCAACTTCAGGGATTATCTCAAGCTCTATGGAGCGGCCTGTTAGTTTTCTTTCGAGGTAGTAAGAAACAAGTTCTTCATCTGTTGGATGGAACCGAAATCCAGGCGGTAAACTCATTGGAGCCATTATATTATTGCTATTTTAGAGATCAGAAGAGATGGATGAACAATAAAGAGAAAGAGAGAGAACTATGTGTGAAGTATATATTGTGAGTCAAACTGGCTTGCACGACAACCAACAATATACATACAGGCGTTTGCCCTGTGAAATTACATTAAATAAAGTGGATAGCGATGTGGTTTGTTCTGTAATTAATAGGAGATTAAGGGGCTAAAGTTTGAAAAAGGGAGGCTCTTTGGCTTTCGAGTAGATTCCATTTGTATCAAATGGTAAAATTATCCGAATAGCAACACCGCCTCTCTCTCTCTCTTAAAAGAGATTCTAGGTTTAAATTCAACATCGACATATTTGTATGTGTATATCTCCTTTTCATACAAACAAAGGTTAGATTAAGAGTAAAATTTTTAAAAACATATAAGAAAGCTCTCTTTTTTAAACTGCCAGTTAAAAATAAAATATTTTATTAGACTGATTAAAATAATGATTCAATGGTTTGCTTTTTAAACTGGTTAGGTTAACCTATTTTTCAATACCATATATGATATTCGCACACTTAGAAAAGGTGTTAAAAAAAAACCTATACAAGAGGCTGCATATGCCTCTAAAACCTTTCATACTGCACAACACGCAATTAACAGAAAAAGTGAATCTTGAAATTTTGTTGTCTATTCCCTATAAAAGAAATCTGATCCGTTGGTTTGATCCAACGAATTGAGGACCTATAACATCATTTTTTTTTTAATCAACACATTTGATATGTAATACACAATTCGCTTTCCTGTCTTATCTCATCCAACAAATGAAATTTTGGACATGAGAGAACAATAGGATGTCTAGATAACGCCTATATATCTTTAATAATTATGCTAAATATGTTTAAGGACATGAATGAACGTGTTTTGTGTGATATACCTTGGTGTTGAAGATATCGTATACATTTTTATATTCTCAGCACCATACTTACGAAGGAGAAAAAGGTATAGAATCTTATACGTATAGTATAACATCCAGTGCAAGTAAGTAATATACGTTCTCTATACGTACCAGGTGATTGATATTTATGACCATGAAAAATATATATATATATATATATATATAGGAGCGTTCTTGAATTTAATATTCACCCGAAATTAAAGGAGCTAGCTAGATTGAACTTCAACTAATATATAACTCGTTGTAATTTATATTATACATATGAAAGAGTACTTGATCAAAACTAACGAGGCTATATAGTGAAGATTTAAATTAATCTGCATCCAATTTTATCTGTATTTGTCTTGCATGCATGCATGCATACACGCATATATGTACTACGGATTAATTTTTGTGGGGTCAATAATGTGATGATTCAGGTTTGTCTTTAACATTTAGCCTCAAGGAAAAAGAAAACCTTTTATCATGAATGAGTCGCGATGAGGTGGAGAGAGATTCATCGTCAAGCATCGATCTAAAAAATTCTGCCTGGCAGTGGCACACAGACACACACAGTCTCTGTCTTCTTTTTCTTTCCATGTTTCTTGCTGGCCCCCTTTTATTCCTTTTTTCTTGCCATCCAAACCTACTTTTTCTTTACTGTTTTCCTTTGTTCCCCTTAATTGGTGCCCTTAAAATATCATTTTCATTGGGCTAAAGACACTCTCACGCACTTTAATGTCTGCAACAAAAATCTTTGACTGGTCTCTCTCTCTCACACACTAACGTACTCTTATGTAACCACTTCACTTACAATTTAGATGCGTAGTCTACATGCTTCTATCTTTAATACTGTTGTTGGGATAATTGACCAATCTGTGTTAGTGTTTCTGATCAGAGTTTGAGCATTTTTTTTCTACAAAAGCCAGATCATGATCAATCTGGGTACGTGGTTGTAAAACACAAATAAGCGGGTTTTCAATAACTATCTTTAAAAAAGATCTGATCTTTATTGTCTCTTTGGAGCTTGCTGATCTTTAATTTGTTATTAATTAGCAAGTGGTAGTTGGAGTAGCAGAAATGAGAATGTTACGATAGATGTGCGGACATACACGTAAAGATAAAATTCGAAATGAGCATGTACACAAAAAGGTGAGGGTAACACCTATTGAGGAAAAAATGGTAGAAAATCGGTTAAAATGATTTGGGCATGTACAAAGAAGACCACGAGAGACACCAGTGAGAAGAGTGGAATATGTAACTTTGAGTCCGATTAAGAGGGTAGAGGAAGGCTTAAGAGAACATTCTTGAAAGTTATTGAACATGATCTCTTAATTAATAATATTCTTAAAAGCTTGATAAATGATAAAGCACAATGGTGTCTTGCAATCCATATAGCCGACCTCACCTAGTAGGATAAAGGCTTGTTGTTGTTGTTGTTAGCAAATGGTAGTTTTAGGCACCTGCTAGTTAATTGGCTAGAAATAAGAGTTGTGGGTTTAAATTATTATTTGACTGATATATCTGAATTGACAATATTTGAAGATAATCCTTAATTTTTTTAACTATAAAACAAAAGGGAGGGTGAAGAATATCTGAGCTATACTTCCAATACCTACATATCTGAGTCTGTGGCTGTGTATCATTTTTGTCTTAACACACATATAGGTATGTTGTGAAAAACTAACTTTCATTGACAAAAGGGAGAGAGAAGGGTTTTGTTTTGCGGAAGAAGTCTTCTGCTGAAAGATTTTCTTATTTCCTGTTGGAACAATTCACATAATTAACATTATATCTTTGAGAAATCAGAGAGAAATAGCTGTTGATGAATTGTAAAGGAGACTCCAAAACTGATCCATTTGAATAATCAAATAGTACAGAATCCATACTCTCGAATAATTCAGATCCAGTTATCATACATCTCTTTATACCTCTAGTCATTGATCTCTCTCTCTCTCTATATATATATATATAAACTGAACTAAAGGATATCAAGAGGATCAGTGGCGAGCGGATTCCCCAAACTTGTATTGCCTGCCGCTGTTGAATTTTCATATCAGTTAGTGCATGCAACAAAAGAAAAATTGATCACATTCTTCTTTCTTCATTACTTTAGCAAAGCTTTCATTTTAGGTCATTTTCCTTGTTTTAACATATATAATGGATGCTTTTGAAAGAGATTTCAAAACTATTGAATCATGTGAAGGCATGGATAGTGAAATAGTTATAATTAACATGCACGTATCTTCGTATTACACACAAATTAATAATGTTGGTCAAGATCAATAATATAATGTTTCTCCTTTCTGTGGTGTTCACTATCCAGAATATATTAAACAAAACGATACGAATATCGATATTTCCCCAAGTAAGCACAGATTAAAAATATATAACTGTGTTCTGTGTGGTGGCTCAAAGTGGTAGCCCCATACCAATTAGAATGCGTAAACCACTAGATAAACTCAACTCAAGAAAAGAGGGCCATGGATGTCGATCTGCACTTGAAGTTGAACATAACCTCGATGCTTAAGGACTGTTCTGTATCAGTACCACCTTTGGGTCCCACCGAGACCAAGTAGACCCTTCTCCATTTTTTTAAAGTATCCGCTGTGCTGAATATATCTCATATCAAGCTATGAGAACTTTAACAAATGTCCAGACTAGTTCGGATTGAGTTTCACTACCAAAAAAGACCTGCTTTGCGATGGATTTTGCCGTAGTTTTGTGATGGAATTTCAGTAGCCTTCCGTCACTATTTTGCTAATCGCAAATTTTTTGCCACAAAATTCTAAAATCCATTCACAAGTTAGGACACACTTTTTGAGATGAACTATTTGTTCCAAATTTGGTGGTTTAGTGTGGCATGGACAATATCAGTACCATCTAATTGCAGACTCGATGTTAGGCTCTTGGGGGTTTCATGAATTTAATAAAGTTAATAAAAACTCTAAACTAATTAACGGAATAAGTTTAGAGTGTTGTGTTAGGTCATAGGTAGTGTTGGGTATATACATGCGCCCAATAATGATAAACTCATGTTAATTGTGGATTAATATTTTGTGGCTATTGTGTATGATTGGAGACCTTATGGATACATGTTTTAAGTGCCCTTTTGATTGATTTAAGGGTGGAGGTAACCGAGAACCTAAATTTTCTCATATATTAATTCTAGCATTTATTGTGATTTTTTTTATAAATGTTGTTCTTGAGGAAAAAGGTGTAAGCATGAACTATATATATATATATACACATATGAGAATGTGTAAAGATGTATGTGTATGTGATTTATGTATTACAAGTTTGAGTAATGCACCGGAGTTTGAATGTAATGTATTATGAATTATTATAGAATCATGAATTGTTGTGGAATCATGAATTATTGGTGTTGTGGCATTATGAATTCTTGAAGAATAAATAATTTGCATATGTGGTAAAAATGTTAAAAATATGAGACTGGAATGATCACAAATGTGATGTACATGTGTGACATAGATGGGAGGGAGTTCACCCTATGATCTGAGAGAGTATATTTAGGTCCACATGGTATGGACAATATTTAAGTAGTGCCTAGAATTGTTTAGCCAATGATACTCACTCTGAGAGTAGTAATGTGTATTAGCAATTATATAAATACCATATGGGTAAGGGAGTCCATGATCCAAGTTTAAGGAGCAGTGACCTTTGGCTAGAGCTTGGGGTGAGTCAAAATATCTAATTGCAATCTTATTACTTGATAGCCCATGAACTCAATTAGAAAGAATACGGAAATTATAAGGTAATAGATGATCATGCATGCATATTAATTTTGTGAATATTTGGTATTATATGAAAATATGTGGTATTATATGTGATTTTGTGATTTTGGGTGTGAAACCGTTATGCTTACACAATCTTAAATATTATTTGAATATATGTTAGAAGTTAGAAATTTCTTAATTAATGATATATTTATCTCAGTCATCGTTGTTAATGTTTTTACAGGTGATATTTCATAAGTGCAAAGGAAAAAGAAATCAAAAGCACATAATCAATAATTACTACTAATGCCTTAGTGTATATGTGTAGAGGATTTATATTGTATATATTTATATATTACCAACTAATACTGTCAGCAATGTATGTAAAACCGGACCGGTCATTAAACAGATCATGGCACTGGGTCATGGGTTAGTGGTTCAATCGGGGTTGAACCGGTAGCAAACCGGTCATGATTAAAATAATACAATTTAAATAAAAAGACATTAATTATAAAAACATTCAATCAAATCCAACCACTTAAAAGTCTAACAATAATAAAATACTATATTTTTGGACTTAGCATGCTTTGCCTCTAATTTTTCATTTTTTAACTTAATTTCACTTTTTTTGTTATCTTATTTCCGAACTCAGAGCTCTGAAAAATTAAAAATGAAAAAAAATGACATCATTTTAGGAGTAAAGTTTAAAAAAATAATAACCCGGTTGACCCGGTCAACCCGGGTTATACCGGGTTGAACCCGAGTTGATCGGGTTACACTAGTTCACTCCCTCACCAGGTTAAGGGTAAACCCAGACCGGACAAGGACTGGGTCACCGGTTTACGGGTTGACCCGACCGGTCTAGTACAGTTTTCAATACCATGACTGTCATGAGTATGTGTTTTTTATAGATTTAATTGGTTAACTCTTTGAGTACAAGCTATGAAGGTTATGATTAGTTAGTTGAATAAAAGATGAATTTATTATCATGTTTGTCAAATAAGGAATATGATGGGATCATATTAAGATATAAGATGAGTGGAGAGTTTGTAGTAGATTAATTAGTAAGGATGAGCTTACAAGGTTCATCATCTTCATTATCTTAATATTCACCCTCCATAGGTGACATACAATGGAGTAAAGTATCAATATTCTTTTTACAATTTCCATACTCTTGTCAGTTGTCCTTCCGACAGAGTGTCCATTGTAATTATCCTCAGTAATACAATTTTATTTCACATGTGTTCTCGCATATTCTAAATCTCTCAGTTAGCTTTGAAACTTTAAAGAAATTGGGTAAATGACTTCGAGAATTCACAATCGTTTGACACAATACTCACTTTGAAGATTTACTTCTCTGACATGCCTGGCAATTACTAAGAGGTATGTCGACCTACCTCACTCAAATCTTGAAAGTTGAAACCATGCAAACAATAATAATGCAAGTTTATAATTTAACTTATATATTTATTATTTATTTATTTATTTAAATCGTTACTTATTATTTGACACCCGTGTATCACACAGAACACATAATAGTTTCTATAGAGTATTTAGTCCAGTAAAACGTAAAATAAGCAATTAATTATACAATATCAAAAAATTTTGCATGCTTTCAAAGAATCGTACAAACAAGATCATCATTATTAAGAACTCATTTGTTTTAGATTGAAAAATAAGTGCTTTTTATAAAAAGTAGATATTATTTTATGTTTAATTACACTAATAAAAAGTGATTATTATTTGGTTATCTTAAAATTTTATGATTTGATTTATTTTTTATAAAATAATTTATTATTTAATTATTTTAAAATTTTATGATATCTTTAAGCAACCCTCATTTTAAAAACATTTTCTTTCATCTATTGTGTATAATTATTTTTGGAAACTATCCAAAGCAGCTTCTTAAAATAATCATATATTTATTTTTTTAAATTCTGATTTTTTAAAAAAGTTTAAAGAAACATCATAAAACTTATAAAATATATTTTTTGAAAAAAATAAGTGATTTTTTTCATTAAAAATGTTAAAACAAACAAGCCATAAAATATTTGTATCTTAAGTAAATTTTAATTTTAATATATTAGGCCTAAATTCTGTCACAAATATTTGCTACACCATTAGTTATCGCAACGTTTGAGACAAAATTTTAGAGACTCAATATTTTGTCCCAAATTCAGTCGCAATTTTTTGAGATGCAATATTCTATCTCAAATTCCGTTTCAAATCTTCAAGATGCATTATTCTGTTTCAAATTCTGTCACAAATATAGGAGATGCAATATTCTATCCCAAATTACATTGTAAATATTTGGAACAGATTTTGAGAGAGATTTGTGACACTTTTGCAGCGCGTTTTTGTCATCACAAAATTTCCAACAAATCTCCTTTTTTTTTTTTGTAGTGTTTACTCAGGAACCTGTCGAATGAAAATTCTGCCACAAATGGGATTGCTTAAGCTAGTATCACTTTCTTGTCATTTGAATTATTGGATATGAACTAATCATTTATTTAGTTTCATAGACAAATGAAAATAATTTCACAACCATATGAAAAAAATAAAGGTAAATAAGTAAATTACCTCTTAAATTTAGGTTCAATAATACTATAAATCCTGAATTTGTTTATTATATAAATTGCTCCCTTAACTTTTAAAAAACGATATAGTTTGGCCCCCACTTTTAATAAAAGTTAATATTGATCTTTAATTGGCAAGAAAATAATAAAAAAGAACATCAAAAATTAAAAAAAATGACGACAATTATTTTTTGTTCCTTTTCTATAATTTTTTTGATTCATTGTTTGATTTTTGGGTTCTTTATTGCAATTTGTTAGTTATTTTCTGCAATTTTTAAGATTAACTAATAATTAAAGTTAACTTATATTAACTACGTTGGTCAAATTATTCAAAAATTGAGGGAATATGCACAATAAATAAGTTTATGGTCTATAATGTTATTGAACCTAAAATTTAAAGGGTAATTTGCTCATTTACCCTTTAAATCTTTTTATGTAATTATTATAATTATAAATTTTTGTATAATTTTTTAGCATTTAATTGTAATAAATTTTATTGTTATATTAATTTGACAAATATTTATAATTATTTTTATTAAAATATCAATATCAATATCAATATATATATACACACACACAAATCTTGTAGCTTTAATCTAATTGGTCAACAAAATTTAACTGTCATTGGTTAATAGATTTTAGGTTAATATTAATATAAAAATTTTTCTTAATTTATTAATAAAATTTAATTTATTTTTTATTTTTCATGTATGTTTAGTTTACTTTCACGAGAGCATTGATTCAAGAGCAGTCTTATTTTTAAATTTTTCTGATCGTTAGCATTAATTTCATCCTACTATCCTTCTCCATTCATTGTATTTTCTTATGCCTTGTCAGTTTTCTTGATCACTAAGATTTAATTTATTTTTCATGTATTTTTAGCTTACTTTCACAGGAATTGATTCAAGAGCAGTCCCATTTTTTTAAAAAAATATTATTATTGGTTAATAGAATTTATGTTCATGTTTTTATGTTCATGTTAATATGAAAATTTCTCTTAATTTATTAATGAGATTTAACTTATTTTTTTTATTTTTCATATATTTTCAATCTATTTTCATGGGAGAGTTGATTCAAGAGTAATACCATTTCTAAATTTTTTGGTCATTAGTATTAACTCCATCCCGCTATCATTCTCCATTTGCTATACTTTCTTGTACCTTTTCATTTTTCTTGATAAATGAGATTTAATTTATTTTTTTATTTTCTATATATTTTTAATCTACTTTTACAGGAGTATTAATTGAAAAGCAGTCCCATTTTTAAATTTTGTTGGTTGTTAGTATTAACTCTATGCGACTATACTTTTGCATTTGCTCTACTTTCCATGCTTTTTTAAATTTCATAATCAATGAGATTTAATTTCTTTTCTTATTTGCCATGTATTTTCCTAATTTGTTGTACTCAATATCAATCAACTCTCATCAACTATCATACATAAACATTATTTGTAAAAAAAAAAGGAAATAAAAAGAACTTTAAGCTTGATTTGGATTATCAATCCTTATCTCTGGTCTTGGCCACTTCAAACTTTGTGTATTTTACTATATATTTACACTGACAAGATAATATAGCGACTACTTAAGTACTCTAAACAAGCAAAACTTAAATAATAAAATTATCTTTCTGATAGCTCTTTTGTTTTGCACATAAAAAAGAAGAAGAATAGGAACCCAAAATTAAAAGAATATAATAAAATTTAAAAAAAAGAGGGATTTCTTTAAATTCTTTCTTATACCATGTTTATAGAAATATAATTTATGTCACAATTTAAAAACTAACATCTAATTTTTTTACATAATAAAAAATAAAGGGTTATTGAGAATTTTAACGAAAGATTTTTTTTTTGCCAATATTTTTTAAGTACTTTAAAAACAGGTATTTTTTTTATAAGTTTTTCACCATAGACTCAAAAAATAAAAACAAATATGTATAAATAAAATATTTAAAAAAATAATTAAATAAAAAAATTTTAAAAATTTAATCATTTCATATGTGTTGATATCAATAATATAAATAATATTTATTTTAAATTTTTTAATTCAACTCATACATCGCACCCAAAACTGTCTAGTTTATATTAAATACAAATGCTGCCCTCACTAGCCGCGCTAGATTTAAGGCATGGAAAAAATACCTTATAAAATTGAAAATCAAAATAAAATTTTGAGTAGATTATTAACAATCGAATTAAATCTAGCGACTAGGAGAAAGAGAGGAGGGAGGCGGCGGAGCGGTTGAGCGAGAGATGTCGATCCTGTGGGAGAAGAGCGCGAGTTGGCGGTGGCTCGTGCGGAGGACCAGAGATTCCAAGCCCTTCTTCCTTGCTTTCGCCACCGTGTGCGGCGTCGTTCCGGGAGTCATTGGCTATGGTGTCATGCAGCTCACCAACACCCGCAACGAACAACTTGAGGCCCATCTTCGAAAAAATGCTCGCCCCGAAACCATGGTACCTCCTCTCCCTTTCTCCTTGTTTCGTCTGTTTCCGCAGAATCTTTCAGCTGTTTTACTTATTTTGTGATTTCTGATGTTGTAATCTGTTGATCCGATGGTTGGGGCAGCGATTTGGGTATTTAGACTATTGATGGGAAAGATGTGTTTAACTTGTGGGCACAAGAGTAGTCTTTACTGTTGTAAATTTGGAAATGATCCAGTTTTCCCATTATTTAGCTCTGTTTAGGCATGCTGGAGCTGGTTAGCTTTTGTAGAGGGTAGTTAATTTTACTGTGACTGGAGCTTATGAGTGCTTTGATGTATAAGCTGTCTATCAGAAAATCTTCTGCAGTGACCCGAAGGAGATTGCAATACACAGTGGGAGTTTGTTTTATAGGGGAAAATGAGCTTATTGAACTGTAACCTTGTACATGTTTTAGTAATGGAATTGTCAGGTGTATAAATAATGTTGTACCTTAAGTTCTCTTTGGGAAAAGACTATAGGGAACTGGCCCAAATGAGTACTTCGTAAAACATGATTGTTACCTGGAACTGCACCCAAGGATAACATCAATATCAATTGACAAATTCTCCAATATGCGCCTCATGGAGTTCTGGTGATTAGGATTTAATCTTGGTACGAACCTTCTCGTTTATCTCGGTAATTTAGGCTGTTTGATTTGATATGGTTGCACTGGCTTAGGTAATACTTGTATAAAATTTAAAAATACCTAATTATATAAGCTCCTACAATCCTTTGTATGCCCCGTACCACATATAAAAGATTGTATCAACTTCTACTTATATACAACAAATGAGGCCTCAGATTCATCTTCCTAAAAGGGTAAAGGAATGTGAAACAAGCTGTGAGATTGATTTTTTTTTTTTTCTTTTATTCAGATTGTCCAGATAAGCCACTGGATATTTGCTACAGTGACCCTGAGGATAAATTAACCTTGCACATCAGTGTAATTTCACTTCATGATTATTCCAGTTGTTCTTTACATTTTTTGCAGTAGCATTCTGCCCCAGAGCAAACCAAGTTGAAGATTGAAGTGCTTTTAAAATTTCTTCAGAGTAATGTCTTTGGGATAAGGCCAAGGATAACAATATACAAATTCATGGGTGGTTTTTGGATCCCACTTGACATATCATCTATAAGACAACAAAACTCTGTAAAACAATATATTCATTCTGGATTCCCCCCATAATATCACATCTTTTATATTGCTGTCAGTTGTCACTACTGAGTCTGGTGACCATTTGGTGACCTTTTTCCGTCCTTATTCTGTAATAGTTCTTTTTCCACTATAGATCTCTGGATATTGTATAACTACATTGGTAGTCTATCATATTGGATTTGGATTGCCTTGTAAGATAAATCTATCCGGAGATTAAATAACTCTTTTGTTTGGTTGAAGGAAATGAGATGAATAGTTGCTAACATTGGATGTTTTAGGATTTATTTATTTATTTATTTTTTTGTCAAAATGAATTCTTTCCTCTGGTGAAAAATCTTATCTCGACAATATGGTTGCTTTGGTTAATTAGATGATGGGACAAGTAAATAAAGAAAGACTGGCTGAATTCCTTGGAGAGCTTCAGCGGAAGGAGGATACAAATGACCGATATGTTGCTGCTCTAAAAGGTGAGACTTTAACCAGAAACCCGTATGTGAGAATTCAACCTGTTCCCAAGCAAAAGGACACTGGTGTTGACAAGGAGCAGAAGAAATAAAGTTTGATAGGCATTTGGTGTGAATACGCATGAGATATCTGTATGTCAAGATGGCACAGGTTTTTAGAGTTAAGCTGGAACTTGATGCTGTTTAGTATCTAGTCTTTACATTTTGATTTTGATTTGCAGAAGGGGGTCTTGGTAGGTGAACTTGCATGATTAATAGTTAGACAGGACTTTTCCTATGTAGATTCCATGTGTGTTCTGTGGAATTACCTAGTTCTCCTAGGCTATGGGATATTTTGAGGTTTAATCAGCCTTATCATTGGTTTTTCCCTTTTGCAATGACGTGAAATAAAATACAATTCCTCCACATTTCATCATCTTCATGACATAATTCGGCCGCTTTTTTATTTTGGAAATTCATGCTTGACTCAAGTTGTCAGAATCTATTTAATTCTATTGTCTGAGACAGGAAATCTTACCTCCTCCAATAAGACATGGTTATGCCAACTGTTTCATGTCTAATAAGTCAACCCTCATTACTGCATCTTTCTGAAACTGTTTCCTTCATTGTCTCCGTTTATTAACATGAATGGACTCCAAGTTCTGAAACAGAGATGTGTGGGATGATACAGTGGGGTTGTCAGATGGAGCAAGTGATGATACTACTTTGTAAAGGGTCACTGTACACTTGTGTAATATAACTTTGCATTTTCTGAAATGAATTTTAATAGGCTAAAAGAAAGATTCTCTGATTAAATCTATTTTTCTCTTTAAACTTGAACTAAAACTTGTTCCAGGGATCGAAATTCATATTTAATGTCTAGCAGGTATTCGTTCATGCGCTTCCCAGTTTCACGTCATTATAATGTGACCGTTTTACTAGAATTTACACATCATGGAGATGTGTTTCTAGTGTTCCTTTCACTGACTCTGGTACACGGTTCAGAAGAAGGCGGTCCAGTTCAAGATTGTTCATTTTGGGTTTCACGTGCTGATGATAACTGACATTTCCCTCAATCGTTAAACATTTAATCCTTATAATATTGATTCAATTACAATTCAATCTTGTAAAGTTTAGTTTGGTACAACTCAATTCCTTACATTTTAATCATTTACTTTATTAGTCCTTACACTACACTTTGTAACTCAATTACAACTAGGTATTCATTAATTAGATATTTTTTCTGAAGTGTATGGACCAATTTATTAAATATGTAAAAACTCATAAGATTTAGTTAAATGAATTTAACTTTAAAAACTACTCTCTCTAATTCTATCTATAAGTTACTTTCATGTTTCACTTGAATTAAAAAAATTTTAAATCTCATTAAATTTTTAATGTTTAATAAGTTTTTACCTTTATTCTTAATAAATGTTCTTAAATCTTATCTTATTATTAATATTTTCATTCAAAACATTTAATAAAGTCAAAAACATAAATAAGAGCATTAAAAATTGTCATGTGCCTTAAAAATAGAACTAATTTTTTTCTTTTTTTCTCTACCTTATAAATTGGACCAGTGGAGTAAATTATAATCTAATTAAAACTATCATAATTAAATGATTAATATTACTTTCATTAAACAATCCGTAGCATGAATTGTAAAAACCAATTTAATTCTATCATCTTGAACATGATCCCAAACATCATAAAAAAAGAGCATACGATTGTGTTAAGAGATACATATACTAATAATTTCCCAAATTGTTTTTAACGTTGTAATAGTTTTGAGATATCCAGATTAACTTATCTTTGCAGTTCTGAGAAGCTACGCTGTTATAAAACACTCGCTCAAATGAAATGATCAAAGAAACCATCATCACCAAACTTGGTTCTCCCATCCCTCCCCAATTTGCCACATATCCTTCACTTAATGCCACCTCATCTTGAATTAACCATTTCAAAATTTGCAAAGAAAAATTCGGAAAGTAAAGTTCTCTTTACTCACTACATTCCATTACATAACATTAATGCATGCATTTTCCTTTGGGGTCACCCAAAGACTTCAAGAAGCAAATGATTGCAGGCACATGAGGAGCAGAAAAAAAGTCTTATGAGGAGATCACATTTGAGACATGTTTGTTAACAGCTAAAATAAGTCTTGCTAGGTTGCATTCTTTCGGATTCCATTATTTACATTTACCATCTTTTGGCTTGTATCCTTCTGATCCGAAGGAAAAACACAGTCCATCCACATTGCATCATCTCCAAAGCACACTGGAAAAAAAACTTCTTATACATTAGTGATATATGCAGAGAATGAATGAAACAATCAGGAGAATTAAAGAGAATGAATGAGACTGAGAGGTTTGATTTGAACCTAAAATACCCCATTGTCATCCAGGAAACAGTTTGATTCGATGGATCATCTCCTCCTGACACATAGGACACGTAGACAGCATCATCCCACATTCTTCACGAGTCTGTATAAGAGTCACATAATAATCATCATTCTCATGTCTTTCGGGTAAGAGTTATTACCATCTGTCCGCATCCAAAGGCCATGTCCATTTATTTCATTGGTCAGACAAATTACACAATCCTGCACATCATTGTAAATGCAGTTTTTCTTATTTCAAGTTTAGCACTGTTACACATACAAGAAATACTGCCATGAATTTTTACTATTTGACTAATCTCTGGAGAAACTAATCAGCTTAACATGACAATGTCCTTTGGAAAAGAATGAACAAATCTCTCTTACCAAAATTACTTACTACAATATTTACAAACATAAAGCGGGATGCATATCATGAAATCATCCCTGCATGGTCGTAGTATTCATTTTAGTCAACAGATGCATAGGTAAAACTCAAGTTCTTCAAATGTTTGCTATTAAGTTTTTGAATAAAAATATAGCATGTACATGACCATTTTTAGATAACTGAATCATGTGATGCTGAGTTGTAAATTTTTAATGAAGAACCTAAGGGTATAAACTTTAAAATTACATCCAATTTTTGCTCTGTGGCATGTTGAATTCACATTTCATCTTTGTTCAAGAGCTGTAAATGTTACATGCAGAAGTTGTACGATTTACCTCAAGCCAGTCAGGAAGATGCTTCCCTTGACTTCCAATTAAGAAACAGGAAACTTGTAAATAATCCAGGTACACACATAGTGAGGAAGAAATAATAATCAAATGAGGCAAAATATTCAAAATCACTGAAGATTTAGTTTCCTCAAGATATGAGCGTCTTGCATGAGGAGTACATTGGGATAAGAAGTGATGAGTTATTAGGTAGATTCACTATTTAAATTTAAAATATATGTATATTAACCTACTCATGAACAAACATGTAAGCACGACACGTGAATTGAAAAAAATTAACTAGCATGCTTATATGCTAATTTATGATAAGTTCAACCTGTTCTTCTAAAAAGAATCTGTTTAAGATTTTTTTTATTTAAATACCCCGGCAACAGCAGAACTCGATGATGCAGCTTTGGCAGCATTAAGGATATCAGCTAACTTTAGTTCTTTTTCTTCAACTTGTCTCATGGCACTTCCACTAGTCTCCTGACATTCCACCTTTAGCAACTGCACGAGCTCAAGCTTTTCTTGCAACTCTTCGCTTTAATCTATTCATTCTGAAAATAAAAATGTTACAAATTAACGGTAAATTAGATCCTTCAATCCATCCAAAAATATTCTTTACGTACACATAATATATTATTATAATTGCTCTATCAATAACAAAAAATCATTAGGTGAGGAGACAAACCTCTCTCAAAGCCAAATATGAAGAAACATTTTGACTATCTTAGATTTAAGAGCTGTACAAAAACAAAATCTATTATCATCCATCCCGCTTAGTGATAATATTTTCACAATTTTAAAGTTACAAATTCAATGTAAATGACTTCACAATGTCAACTTGTCTAAAATATTATATATATATATATATATATATTTTTGGGTGGGTGGGGGGACCAAAGTAGTCATTACCTGGGCAATGTCAGCATCATTTTGAGCATGCTCAGCTTCTTTTCGGGCAACCTCTAACTCTTGACATATCTCTTCAACTTGCATCATAGTAACTTGTCTTATATCCATAATTTCCAACTTCAGCAGTTTGACAAGCTCTTCTTTTTCCTTCAACTCTCTCTTCACCTTGGCCCATTCATTCTAAACATAGAAGTAATCAAACTAATACCCATCCTAAACAATTCTTTAAAGTACACACAATTGTTTATGCAATTTCACCACGTCAATATATACAATCACTCAGAAAATTCAGTTACAAGTAGAATTCAAATACCAGGTAACATATAACATGAATCTTGGAAATCCTAGAATAAGAAACTGAACAGAAACTAACAATTTCTTATCACATTGATACAACTCTGTGTAATTAGTTCGTATAATCAATCGGTCTGGAATATTTGATAGGGGAAAAATCAACCGAATCAGTACGTCAGCAATGTCAGTATCTTTACGAGCATATTGAGCTTCTTTTCGAGTATGGGCTAATTCATGATCTATCTTTTCAATTTGTCTCTTGGCCAGTTCTGCCTCATCATCTTTCTCAATTATAAGCCTTTGGACAGTTTTTCCTTCTTCTATCAGCATTCTTTTAAGTCTAGCACATTCACTCTGTAAATTGGCTAAAGCTTTAACAGAAAGGTAATGGAGTGATACCGTTGAAGTGTCAAATTCAACTTCAGTGGGAAACAGAAAAGATAGTTGCGCATTTTTTCACAAATTAAGTACAAAGGATTTATTACTTTTATCTTCTCACACAATTTTTTAAACTTAAATCTGTAAATTTAAAATTAAAAAAGAAAACATAACTACTACCTTTGGTCCTATTTATAGGGTAAAGAGAGAAGAATTTTTTTAATTCTATTTATGAGTCATGTCATTAAAATTTCACCACAAATTTTTTCTTTTACCTTCCATTAAACGTTGGAGAGAGAAAATATATTATTGAAATATGTATATTTAATAAAGACAAAGTTAAAAACTTATTCAATTTTAAAATAGAGTCAATGAGTTTTAAAATTTTTTTCGGTACTGATAAAACATGTTAAAAATGATTTATAAATAAGACCAGAGGAGTATCACATTACTTTCAAACATATTCTCTCTATAAAATCTCTAGCTACATATCTTAACAACTAAAGGCAAGAAAAAATGTTTACTTTTTATTTTAACCATCCATGTTTGATCAAGGAAAATATTTGCTTTTAAATTGTACTAGGATCAAATTTGCCATTGCGAGTGAATAATAACATTTTTATAATCCGATAAACCAGTATCAGAAATGGAGAAGAAATTCATCTGAATAAACTAGAATAAAAAAGTACAAATATAATCCAATTATATACTTCTATAAGTTGTCATGTCTTTTATAGTGATTTAAAAATACAAAAGCACTTACAAAACAATCAAACAAGCATCAATCAAACACTAGCTACTTCTTTATGATTCAATTTCGTAAATACTTATCAAACAATTTGGGAAAACATATGTAATATCTCAGTATATATATTAGAGTCCCATTTTCTTTTACTATGTATATTTACTTTAATGCCCTTAAAAAAACAAAAAACACAGATAATATCATCAGATATTTCTTCTCTTCCCCTTTACTTCTTCATTTTCTTTGTTCCTTCTCTATAGCTTATTCTCGCCAAATCCTCCTCCGCCTCTGTTCTTTCCTTTCGTTTTTTTCTTTCGTTCGCCAGTGAGGGTGCAGGTGGGTCGTCGATCGCTAGTGGGTTCCGAGAGAACTCGAGACTTCTTCCTCCTTGTTTCTTTCCGTGCGTGGACGTCGAGTAACCGGGATACTGTTACCGGACGTCTGAATTTGAATTCCTTCACTCCCCTGCGCACATGGCCGACTTCATCTTCTTCCTTCCTCTGTTTCAAGTGTTGCTGATTAAGTGAGTTTGATTTCTTCATCTTTTTCCTTTGTGCTGTCAGTATGTGTGTGCTATGTGGTTGCTGCACATTGATGGAGGTTAAATTTTAAATTCTTTCTTTTTTGAATTAGTGCTGTATGTTTAGGTAAATATTGCTACTTAATTAATTTTAAATTGAAGGTTTAGTTTCTGTTGTTGTACGGGGAGATCATGACATATGTATACATATTATTGACATTAATTCTTGGCAAAGGACAGTTTAAGAAGTATGATTTGGATTATATTATAACAATACAGTTAGTTAGGCTAAGAATAAAATGAAAAATTTAGAGGCATAAATGAGGGTAAATGGAAAATTGATTCAATTTTTTGAAAGACTTATTAAAATTTTATTATATCTAATAGGACTTCAGAAGATTTTATTATATCTAATAGGACTTCAGAAGAAGAGAAGCTTGACTGAAGTTATAAAAAGAAAATTTTAAGAACTCGATGATATGTCAAGTAAGTAAATAACATTTCTCAATTAAAAAAAAACAAGAAGTCAAGATATTTCTCTTATTTTATTTATTTAGTTATTGATCTATTTTAATTGTTATAAATAGATCTTTTTATTGTGCTTTATGATTAAGCTGATTTAAAGTAGAGAGAATGAGAAATAAGGACCTTGTAAAAATATTAATATCAAATTAGAACTTTTTAACACTAATGTTTTCAAATTTCAATACTTTTTCTATCATGTTTTAGTACTATAGTTCTTAATTTGGCATTACTATTGTTACAAGATCTTTATTTGTTATTCTCCCTTTAAAGTATGTAATTAGCTTATTTATTATTTGAGTTTCATTATGTAGGTATTCTCATGGTATTATGTTTATCAAAAATATTATACATGCATGGATTGGATCAATAATAGATGAAAACATTATTTGTACTTTACAAGTTAAAGAAAAATTTTGAATCATAAGTATTTTTGGACTCCATGCATGACAAGAATGTTTTATACTACTGAATACAAAATGTTGGTTGCTAATGATAATTTTATTAGCTCTTGACGTACTATGACACACCTAGCTAGCAGGTATATTGGAGGTGCTAGGCCGTGTGTCCCAACACATGTGGAAAGGAAGGAATGTAATTTTGTGGATATAATCCATGTGTATTATTCGTAAGTTTTATATTTGTGCCTGTTTTTCATGGTTTCTAACCACGTTGGATGTTACTTACCCTCGTGGATTGTATGTCCACACCTCTTGTTCATTTATTTAAGTCCTAACAAAAACAAGTTTTTCAAGTTATATTTTCATTCTTAAAAATTGTATTTTTATAATTTGTTTTATATGAAAGACATTCCTAATTTGTTGATTATGATTCTTTACTTCCTCTTTTTTATTTATATTACTCAATTATTAAAGATAAATTGTGCAATTATTTTCCAATACCATCTATAAATAGATTAGTTACTTATTTCCTGTTTTATATGTTCATGATTATCTAATTTATTATTATTATTATTACTTTTATTATTATTATTATTATTATTTAGGGAAGTTATTTGTAGAAAAATTTTGGTATTCTAACAGTAAAAGTAGACCTACTCTTCAATAGATCTTGTGTGACTTCTTGAGACAAGAAGTACTTTGTTGCTCCATTCACATTGTGGATTAATGTAACTATTTAAGTAGTTTGTTTTTGCTTTAGAGTTGCTCTACGAATCCTATAGGTAGAAGCCTTGTTTAAAGTGTTTTGGATTATATGTGTATATATACTGTATCGAAGTAGAACTCCAAATGCTGCTTGGATATTATTCTCTTGACAAGTTATAGAGATTTTGGGTAGTTTAACTTACCAGGGAGGCTTGCTGAAATTTCTACAGTAAGCTTGAATATTTTATGACTGATGGTATTTGTTTAATACAAATGATGATTATATGATAATATTGGGTAATTAAAATGTGAGACATTACATGGGTTTAGTTTATGGAATATGAGTTTTTTTGTATTCTAGCCAGTCACACTTTAAAAATTCAAGTGTGACAACATAACTTTGAATCCTTACACTTTGCTTGAGTTTTATTATAAATCCCTGCATTTTTTTTAGTGTTCTAGATTAAAACAAAACTGTAGAGACGTAGAGGATAGTAAAAAAGTGCAGAGACCTATAGTAAAATCTGAAACACAAAAAATAAGAGTGTAGGGATTTAGAATATCGAAAAAAAAAAAGTGTAGGAATTTACAGCAAAATTCGAGCAAAGTGTAGGGATTCAAAGTTATATTTTTCAAAAAAAATTTCTCTAAAACATTTATCTAGAATGCAATGCATTTATCTAAAGTTCACCTCAGCAATCGCAGAAGGATTAAGAGCATTGGCCAACTTCAGTGCCTTCTCTTCATCTTGGCTACTTACACTCTCTCTCATCTCTTGGCATTGAAATTCCAGCAATTTGACACGCTCTTCCATATTCTTCACATCTCCCTTGACCTTAGTCCATTTACTCTGCATAAAAAAAAAAATTTCCAATTAATAGCCATTTAAGTGCTTCAATCAGCTCTAAAGAATTCTTGCACATAATATTTTATAATTGCTCACACCAAAATATTTAATCACTTAAAGATTCAAATGACAGAAAAGCATAGATTAAGAAGCCGTGCACAAACTGAATTTCTATCACTTTGACTCTTAATGTTTTGTTATCAAACTGATTGCAGTTGCATGTAAGTTGGTTCATAATGTTAATCTAAAATATGGTAGATGAATATTAGAAAAGTAAGGCAGATGAACATAATGAGTACTTCAGCGGCATCAGCATCTTCTCGAGCTAACTTGGCATCTTTTGAGCATGGGCTAATTCTTGATTAATCTCTTCAATTTGCCTCTTGCTAGCTGCACCTCATCATCTTTCTCATGTCTAAGCCTTTGTACAAGTTTTTGCTCTTCTTCCAGCATTCTCTTTAGTTTAGCACATTCACGCTGCAAGATCACATATGAATTAATAACAGTAGGCAAGTGATGCAGTTAAACTGTCATACCAAACCTGAATTAAAAAAAAAAAAAAAAAAACCATTATACGAATTTCTTTACCAGTTACAAACATGAAGAAAATAACAAGAGCAATATTATTTTTCATATTTTTATAAATTTTACTTCTTTTTGGTGGGGAAAAACCAAATTAAAATCACATTTTCAAATATTGCCTCAATCGATAAAGTCACTAACCACATGATTACAACATGTTTCACCTAAGAAAGAAAGATAAGAGGAAATAGTAATAATTTTTATTGATACTTGATAATGGCATACATTTGCTTTAAAATGATGGAAGGATCTAATTTCCCACTGAATAAGGGAAGCATTAAGTAAGAGCTTGCTAAACGAAGAAACATTATGAAAAAGTACAGATATAATCCAACTATTCAAGTATAGATGTTTCAGCTATTTCCCGCAGGTTATCCCTTCTTTTTTAATAAGCTTCAAAGACTTTAAGTTTGAAATTTTTTTAAAATTGAAAACAAATGTTAATATTCGATGAAAAACCAAATTCCTTATTTGTTACACAGCTTTCGGAAATATTAGCAATAAATTCTTTTAAAAGTTTATGTCAAATAAGATAACATGCAATATTAATAGAGGTAGGCAAACTCAAAGGTAATTAAAATAAATAGTAACGACAAGGAATACCTCAGCAATTTCAGAAGCAAGTAGGGCATTGGCTAACTCTTGTTCCTTCTCTTCAACTTGTCTCATGGCGCTTTTTCTTGTCTCATCACATTCTGGCTTTAGCAATTGCAAAAGCTGTCTCTGCTCTTGCAACTCTTTCTTTGCCTTAATCCATTCATTCTAAACATTAAAGCTACCCATTAATAGCCACTTAAGAGTTTCAATGCATCCTATACTATTATTTAAGTGCACAAAATATACCATTGTCAATGCTCCTCATCAATATATAGAACCATAGAGAGGAGAGTTAGTTCAGAGTAGAATTTAAATAACAGGCATAAAAAAAAAACTGCTAGGATATAGTCTATGAAAGAAGCACAAGCCAAATGCACAGAAGTAGAAACAGGGAAAGAGGTATAAAATACTTTCACATAGTAAATATGGCAAAAGAAGGTGATGGAGAAAAAAATGAAAGTAAAGCAGAAAGCAAATCACCATTGACCTAACCAGCACACGGTCCCAATTACGTTCTTCTTATATTCTTGACATGTGAGATTATCACCATTCTTACCATATTCCAATCATTATTCCCCGATACAAATCAACCTTGTCTGTTGGATTAAAAAAGAAAGTCAACCTTGTCCTCAATGTTGAGCTAGACACTGAACAACATTAAACGAAAGACATGCATAACCATGTCTTGCCACCCAAACCAGGCACAGCAAATTCCTTTCCACTGGATCATTGAGAAACTAGTAGAGATCTTTAATGAGTAAAAACTAAGTTACTTAACATCAACTTGCCATACTAAAAATTAAATACTAATCTGGTAACGAGGAAGACACACAGGAGACAATAGAAATGTCTTCCAACACGTAGCTGCTATGCGTGAATGGACATACCTTGTTTTTCTGTTCAGTACCCTTTCTGCCTTATATTTGGTTTCTTCTCTCTTTTCTTCTGCCACAATATTAAGAAGAAGATTCTGTGTCTCCCTCTATATTTTCCTCCCTCTAATCTCTTCTCTGTCATCTCTCTCTGCTCTCTATATCAGCTCCTCTCTCTATCAGTCTATTCTCTCATGCCCATGTCTCTTCTCACCTGTCATTTGCCTTTTTATCCCCCTCTTTAGCTCTGTAATTTCTTCCGTTAGATCTTGGATTTCAAGGTAAACTTTGGATGTCTTGCAAAAACAAAAACAAAAACAAAACAAAGCAAAAACAAAATGGTGCACCATTGGAGAAGCGAACACCTCATTATCAGAGCAGTCAATTCATCCATGGTCAAAAGTAAAAATAAATGGCCTCACCAAATTTGACTCATGAAAACTGGCAATGGAGACACCTTGCAGCAGAATAATCATAATTGTAGTAACATTGCCTCAATGCTCTACATCTTTGACCAGCCTGATTCATAATAATCCTCATTTGAATGATCTCACTATTGATGGATCCCAAATCTTCGTCAATTTTGTCCAGACAATTGATGAAAGCAGAAATTGTAAGGATCTAACCTATCAAAGAGGCACTGATAAAATGCAAAGAGAATCATATTCTTCCTCTGAATCCGGAAGGAACTCCACTGGCTTTTTCACCCAATTAAAACAAGAATATCCATATCCCTCCTTAAGAGTGACTTCCATAACACCGCGCAACTCAAACCTCAACCTAACCAAACACAATCACATTGTGTTGACTCTCCATTCTTCGAAATTCCTTTCCATTGAACGAAATCATTATTCCTACTTCCCACCATAACCCCAATTATGCACAGATAGAAATTCTCCATCATTCAGATTGGTTTGTATAAATCTTTAAATCACAAGAATCCTGTATTTTTCTTTTTGCAATGATCATAACTCCTTGTAACCTAGGTCACTTTGTTTATTTGTCTAAAAAATGATAGATAAATTATTATAAGATAAATGAAACAAGATATCAACACAGATCGTACCTCAGCAACATCAGCTCTAGTAGTAGCATACTCAGCATTTTTTCGCATATCAGCTAATTCTTGACCTATCCCTTCAATTTGTCTCTTAGCTAGTTGTGCCTCATCATGTTTCTCAAGTTTAAGCCTTTGGACAAGTTTTTGCTCTTCTTCCAGCGTTATCCTCAATTTCTCACATTCACTCTGTCCAACATAAAAGTAATCGAGTGATACAAGGAATTAATACATTTGACTCAAATGGAAAAAGGGGGGAAAAAACTCAATCATCAACAAGTATGCATCGGTACATACAATCACAACTTACAAGCATCAAAGGAACTAATATTAGAGCAACATCACTTTCATCTTTTCATGTATTTTGCCAAATCAAAATTTGTAGTTTTTAACATAACAAAAGCCAACTTAAAACTCAAATTATTTTCAAATGCATCATCACACTTTATAAAACCACACGCAACAAAATTGCATCATGGTTAGCCCAACTATGAGAAATAAATAAATAATTATGTTAAATTATTTATTTCATACCTCTGTGTTTCATAAATGCATGCATTTGCTTTTAATTTACAGATGGATAAAATTACCCGCCCTACGAGAAGCAACTAGAAACAGGAAAAAAAGACATTTTCAACAACATAAACACATAAATACAAATAAAAGCCAACCATATACTTCTTTCAAACATGTCTTTTTTCTTGTCCCAAAAAAAAAAGTCTTTTTTTAAGATTTAACAGAAAGCAGTGCTTTTCAAAATGATCGACCAAATGCTAATCAATGATAAAGGAACCTGCAAGAAAATTTGGTGGGATGCTAACCGCTTCTTTATTGTAGATTTTAGCAAACACTAAATTTAAAAAAAAAAAACTTCAAAAGGTTTATCAGGATTAAAATTCATCTTTAAAGCAGGAAACAAACTATAAAAAAATATTCTGAGAAAATAACTGGGACAACGACAATTCGACAAATACCTCAGCAACTGAAGCAGCATTAAGGGCATTGGCTAGCTCTTGCTCTTTTTGTCAACCTGTCTCAGGACGATTTGCCTTGTCTCCTCACTTTCTGGCCTTGGCAACCGCACAAGCTCTTGAGCTTCTCGTAATTCTCTCTTTAACTTAACCCATTCATTCTTATAAACGTAAAAAGATACTAATCAATAGCCACTTATATACTTTAATCTATCCTAAATAATTTTCAAAGGGCTTGTAATATCTTATCATAACTGATCACATAAATACAAAGAATCATTTGGGGAGCACATTAGCTAAGGGTAAAATTTGAATGACAGATAAAAAACCAATTTTAATTTGAGAATTCTCAAATTTATGAGTGGCGCACAAATAAATATATCACACAGCCTTGTTAGTCTAAATATTGTGAAAATTTTAGCATCAGAAATGAAGAATCCTGTGATACAATGCCTTGTAAGTTTGTCTAAAATATGATATAATATATATACATATAACTGTGGGGAGGGGGCTCAAGACAAGCCAAAACCTCAGCAACATCAGCTCTGGTTGCAGCGTACTCAACATCTTTTTGAGCCTCTGCTAATCGTTGACTCATCCTTTCAAATTTTCTCTTGGCCATTTGTGCTTCATCTTCTTTTTCTTGTTTAAGCCTTTGCACAAGCTTTCTCTCTTCTTCCAGCAGCCTCCTCAATTTAGCACATTCACTCTGTAAAGTTAGCAACAGCTCCAACTATAAGGGAGTGATAGAGTTGAAGTATCACATACAATTCAAATGGAAAAGCAAGACACGATTATCAATACATATACATATTTCTTCACAAATTACAAACAAATCCCCTCAGTCCTATCACCTCCCCCACCCCCCAAAAAAAAATAAATAAAAAAACTTTGGAACAAAATCAAAATAAAAAAGTATTGACATAATCCGAATGGAACATATACATGAAATAAAAGTAACACCCAGAAATACCTCGGCGGCGGCGGCGGCATTAAGGGCATTGACGAACTCTACAGCCATCTCCTGAACTTGTCTCATCTCATGCAACTTATCTTTTCCCCTGAAATTCCAGCTTTAGCAATTCGATTAGCTCTTCCTATTCTTGCAACTTCCTTTTTGCCTTAATCTACTCATTCGGGAACGAAACAAAGATAAAAGCCAATATCATTGTTGTGAAATGAGGGGAAAAGATCCATAGAACCCGATTTGGGTATCTACATAAAGATCACGTAACAAGAGTGAGAGAACTAATTGCACAAACACCCAAAAAAAAAAAATTGATCACTCTCGTCAGTTCTTACAGGTTTCTAATTGCAGAGCGCATCAAGCAAGTAATGTGGTAGAAATATCACAAAATATTAAATCTACATGAGAAATATGCTCACGAAGACAACTCTGCACTTGCAGTTTTGCTGTTTCTGACACTCTTGCCCGCGAAAAAACTGAGAACTGTTCAGCAAGTGGAAAGCTTAGAGTGGATGAAGCTTCCTGTTTTTCTGGTCAAGAAATTGTTGAAGCTTCCTTAGTGGTGACCCTGACCGAAGCCAGAAGAAAGTAGGGGAATCGGAAATAGCAAACTGTAAGTAAAACATTCAAAGACAAAGGAGAAAGGGAAAAGCAGGGAGTGAGGGGAAAGAAGACCACGACTTGCTGTTGACGTTTCAAGGGAGGAACCTCTTCATTTCCTTACAGGATTAAATCAAATCATATTGTACGAAAGATTCCCTAATTATATATTACATAATTTAAAAAAAAAACAATATGCTGATATTGTTATTGAATTTTTTATATTATATTTCAGCTACCTAATTGAACCGGGATCGAAAATTTTATGTCCATACTCTCTTTATTTAAAAATATAAAATATTTTTATTTAAATTTCACTTACTAATAAAATAATTATTTATTTTTAAATTAATTATATTTTTTATATTTATATTTATTAAATACTCTATAATAAATATAAGTCTTTTATTAATAAAGGTGCTTTAAAAAAAAATAATAATTACACTTTAAAAAATTAAAAATATTTTATATTTTTTACCGTTCAACTCTTTAAAAAATATTTTATATATTTAAACAGAGAGAATATCAATTGATAAGAAAGTAACTTACTAGTAATGTATAAATTTGAAATATATTTAATTAAATAATCTAATTCATTTTAATTTATACATTTCAAATTTTATATATATTTTGTTGGGTATTAAACATGTGCATTTCTTCTAACAGGATATTCAAATCTTATTTGTCATATTGTAAAAAATTAATTTCCTTTCATTAAACTCAATCTTATCCTTTAAACAATTAAAAAATCATGCTTTGAACATGGGAGAAAATTTAATGTTGTCCAATGGGATAGAACTCAAATGTATAATTAAAAAAGGGGGATAGAGATCAAATAAACAAATCAATATTATATTATATTAGGAGAATGACATCTATATTTTAAAATTTAAATTAATGATATTTAAATTTCAAATATAATTTTTTAAAAAAATAATTGAAAAAATATGAAAAATATAATTGTAAATTTAAAAGTTTTAATTGAAAATGCATGTTTAAGTGTCAAATATAACTATTAGGTTATAGTAGAAATTTCTATTTATAATTGTTTGAATTGATATATAAAATTTATTTTTAGAAAAATTGTCAAATAATTATTATTAATTCAGTTTTTGAGGACTTAATTATAATTAATTTAATTTTTTGAGATCTAATTATCACTCTTCCTATTATATTAGTATTTCTAAATGAAGATTATTCTTGAATAGTTTGGGTGAATTTATATGAGCATTTAGAATCCTTTTACAAGGTAAATTACTTAATAAAAAATCATTCCTACTATCTGCCACTCAAAATCATTCCTATTATTGAACAACGGGGAAAAAAAGTCATTCCTCGTGTTACGAAGAATTAAAAACTATTTCATAATGAGAATTTTATTTTTAAAAATGATTCTAAAGATGAAATAAAATAGAGAGTCCTTCACCGAATGTAATTATAAGAATGTGCAATTGTGGATTGGATTGAGGCGTAGCCTACTTGATAATGGCATACATTTGCTTTAAATGATGGAAGGATCTAATTTCCCACTGAATAAGGGAAGCATTAAGTAAGAGTTTGCTAACGAAGAAGTATAATGAAAAAGAACATATATAGTCCAACTATTCTTTTAAGTATACGAGTTTTAATGACCTTCGAAGACTTTAAGTTTGAAAAATTTTAAAAATGGAACAAATGTTAATATTGATGAAAAACCAAATTCCTTATTTGTTACAGCTTTTGGAAATATTAGCAATAAATTGAAAGTCTATGCAGAATACGATAACATCCTGACATATAGAAAAGTAGGGAAGAGGGAGAAAGAAGGGGAAACAGAGGAGAGGAAGAGAAGAGCAAGAGAAGAGAGACATGGGAGAGAAAGTAGAAGATTTTTTTCTTTTTTATTATAACTGAATAGTATTTTCTATTATGAGAAAAAGCAATAGCACCTGATTCACACTTAGGACCCCTTTGTATAGGCTCCTATACCATTCATTCTAACAGAAACTAACTAAACTGCTTATTCTTTATTTCTTTATTCTTTACATATCACATGCAATATTAAAAGAGGTAGACAAACCTAAAGGTATATATAAATAAACAAGAAGAAATACCTCCGCAATTTCAGAAGCAAGAAGGGCATTGACTAACTCTCCTTCCTTCTCTTGTCTCATCACATTCTGGCTTTAGCAATTGCAAAAGCTCTTTCTGCTCTTGCAATTCTTTATTTGCCTTGATCCATTCATTCTAAACATTAAAGTTACCCATTAATAGCAACTCAAGAGTTTCAATGCATCCTAAACTATTATTTAAGTACACAAAATATATTATTGTCATTGAGCCTCATCAATATATAGAATCATTAAGAGACGAGAGTTAGTTATGAATAGAATTCAAATAACAGGCATAAAAACAATGCTAGGATACAGGTCTATGAAAGAAGCACAAACCAAATGCACAGAAGGAGAAACAGAGAAAAGGGTGTAAAAATACTTTCATATAGTGAATATGGTGAAAGCAGGAGATAGAGAGAAAAATGAAATTAAAGCAGAAAGCTAATCACCATTGCCAGCACATGGTCCCAATTATGTTCTTATTTTTTTGACATGTGGGTGATCACCATTCCCATCATATTCCAATCATTATTCCCCCATACAAATCAACCTTGTTTGTTAGCTGCAAAAAAAAAAAAAAAAGTCAACCTTGTCCTCATTTTTGAGCTAGACACTCAACAAAATTAAAAGAAAGACATGCACAACCATGTCTTGCCACCCAAACCAGGCACTACAAATTCCTTCCCCCTGGATCATAAAGAAACAAGTAAAGACCTTTAATGAGTAAACACCAAGTTACTTAATATCAACTTGCCATACCAAAAATTAAACACCAATCTGGTAACAAGGAAAACAAACAGGAGAGAGTATAAATGTCTTCCAACACATAGCTGCTATTTGTGAATGAACATCCCGTGTTTTTCCGTTCAATACCGTTTCTGCCTTATATTTGGTTTCATCTCTCTTTTCTTCTGCTACAATATTTAGAGGAAGCTAATGCATCTCCCTCTCACATTTTTCCCCTCTTAATCTCTTCTCTGTCATCTCTCTCTGCTCTCTATTTCAGCCTCTCTCTCTATTCCAGCTCTTATGCCCATGTCTCTTCTCACCTTCTCTCATTTTGTCTTTTTTATCCCCCTCTTCTGCTTTGTAATTTCTTCTGTTAGATCTTGGATTTCAAGCTAAACTTTGGATGTCTTGCAAAAACAAAAACAAACACAAAAGCAAAAAACAAAATAGTGCTCACTTGGATAAAAACAACTTATTGTCAATTCATTCCAGATCAAAAGTAAAAATAAATGGCCTATTCCGACTCATGAGAACTGGCGATGGAAACACCTTGCAGCAGAATAATTATAATTTTAGTAACATTGCCTTAATGCTCCACATCTTTGACTCATCCTGGTTCATATCTTCATTTGAATGATCTTACCAGTGATAGATCCCAAATCTCTGTTACTTTTGTCCAAACAATTGATGAAAGCAGCAATTGTAAGGATCTAACTATGAAGAGGCATTGATAAAATGCAAGGACGAGAAACTTATTCTTCCCCTGATTCCGGAAGGAACTCCACTGTTTTTTTCACCCAATTAAAACAAGAATATCCATATCCCTCCTAAGAACTACAGGTCCCTTCTAATAGGAAAATAACACTGTCCAGAAAGGTGATTTCCGCAACAAGCTTGTGCAAGCTCAAACCTCAACCTAACCAAACACAATCAAATTGCCTTGACGCTCCATTCTGCAAAATACCTTTCCATTGAATCAAATCACAACTCCGACTTCCTACCACAACCCTATTATGCACAAATAGAAATTCTCCATCATTCAGATTGGTTTGTATAAATGTTTAAATCACAAGAATCCTGTATTTTTCTTTTTGCAATGATCATAACTCCTTGTAAATTAGGTCACTTTGTTTATTTTTCTAAAAAATGATAGATGAATTATTATAAAATAAATGAAACAAGATATCAGCACTGATCATACCTCAGCAACATCAGCTCTAGTAGTAGCAGACGCAGCATTTTTTCATGCGTGAGCTAATTCTTGACCTATCTCTTCAACTTGTCTATTGGCTAGTTGTGCCTCATCATGTTTCTCAAGTTTAAGCCTTTGGACAAGTTTTTGCTCTTCTTTCAGAATTATGCTCAGTTTGTCACATTCACTCTGTAAAATTAGCAATGGGTTCAACATAGCAGAAATGGAGTGACACAGGAAATCATCAAATTTGACTCAAGCGGACAAAAGAAAAATAACTCAATCATCATTTCATCAACAAATATGCATCTGTACATGTTTTCGCAACTTACAAGCATCAAAGGAACTAATATCAGAGTAACATCACTTTCATCTTTCCATAAATTTTGTCAAATCAAAATTTGTCGTTTTTAATATAACAAAAGCCAACTTAAATTCAAATTATTTTCAAATGCAGCATCACTCCTAATAAAACCACACACGACAAAATTATATCATGGTTAGCCCAACCATGAGAAAGAAATAAATAGTTATGCTCATTTATTTGTTTATTTATTTATTTTATTCTCTGTGTGTTCATAAACGCATACATTTGCTTTTAATTTACAGATGGATAAAATTATCAGCTCTGTGAGAAGCATAAAATCAATGTAGCTGTCTAAAGCAATATTAGAAACAGGAAAAAAGACATCTCCAACAACATAAAAATATAAAGTACAAATAAAATCCAACCATATACTTCTTTTAAGTATGTCTTTTTTCTTGGCCAAAAAAAAAAAGTACATCTTTTATTAAGATTTGACAGAAAAAGGTGCTTTTTGAAATCATTGATCAAATGTTAATCATTCATAAGAGCACTTGAAAGATAATCTGGCATGACGTTAACTACTTCTTTATTGGAGTTTTAGCAATCACTAAATTAAAAAAAGAAAAAGAAAAACAACTTCAAAAAGTTTATCTGGATTAAAATACATCTTTCAAGGAGGAAACACACTAGAAAAATTATTTTGAGAAAATAGCTGAAGCAACGACAAATTTCTCAGCAATTGAAGCAG